CATGATCCACACAATCAAATGCCTTTGCATAGTCAAACCTTAAGGATACAAAAATACTACCAATGTCTTTAAACTCAAAATCACTGCCATCAAGTCAAACTGGACTCATAGAAACCCCTCCTTGGGTTTCCGAGGCAGTATCACTACGGAAGTAGATGGCCCAATCTTCCTTCCAAGGAGTGGCTGGTGGGTTTGAACCAACAATCTTCTGGTTAGCAGAAATGCCTTAGGCACCATGCCACCAGAGTGAAAGGTAACATTAGAGGAGAGTGAACAAATAAGTGGGTGCTCTGGTAGAACACTGCTAAGGCATTTGACTACTAACCAGAAGGCTGGAAGTTCAAACCCACGAGACACTCCTCGGAAGGAAGAATTTGATAAACCCACACTTACCTGTGGATTTTTTTTTCCATCTGTTGAATATTTCATTTTACCCTTTCTCAGATTTTGAATTTCTAACTCAAAAATTCTAACTCACCTCGACAAGCTTCTTCAAAATCTTGGGTTATGTCCACCCAGCTTGTATTGCTTTTTTCCATTTTTTCTGGTATACTGAGCTCCCATCCTGAATCATCATCTTCTACAGAAGCTTTCATAACCATTATGCCTGTAAAATTGACAATGGTGTCAAAGAGAAGATCTACCTTTCAGGGCAAGATTATCTGCAAAAGATGTGTTTTGCTGTTTTTAAAGTACCGGATTAAAGTCTTACTAAACTAAGGAAAACTCTTCTGAGTTTGAGAATGTTACTGCAAAACATTACTTCAACCCAATTCATCTTACAATAATTAACACTACTGATCATTTATTAATAACCCACCACCTACCAGGGCTCATAGAAAAGTTTGCTTTTCCATAAGAGTTTGATTGTGATTGTGTGTGTGTGCATGTGTGTAAAAAGAATCACAAACCATCACACCACTTGCCCAAACACAACCAACTCTAGAGCTTGCAACTTTCAACACCGGTCACAAACGACCATGGTACTACTCAGAGTTCCCTCTCGAAGCCTACGACCCCAGGTGGCCAATCACTCAAGTCAAGGTACCCCTCATTTAGCCGAAGCTCGTGGGCCAACCTCTCCCTGGCAGGGGCAGGACCCAGCCACAGCTTTCCAGGGAGCACGGATGGGCGATCACCGCAGGTTCCCACCTGCCGGGCCCAGAGCGAGAACGCACCTGAGAAAGGGACACACACCAGGTCTGCCCGGCCCAGCCCAACAGGGCGCAGAAGCAAGGACAGCGCTGTTGCCGCGCAGAAGGGCGGGCACGCTGGGTGCCAGGTCGTCGTCTTGGTAATACCGGGAGAGGCCTGGGCCTCTCCGGGCACCGGGCACGAAGGAGCCCGCAGCCCCTACCTGAGGCGCGGCGGGAGGGCCGGGGCCGCAGGGTGACCTGGCGTCCCGAGGGTCTGCCACACGCGCAGAGAGCTGAAGCTCTCGGGAGCAGGAAGAGGAGGTCCCAATGGGTCCGCAAAGGTGGTCCTTACCTACTTCTCCCGTGGCCACACGCGCCGCCACGCACAGTCCAGACCGCGGAAATAACGACACCGCCTCTGCCACCGCCCCCTCCCCGCTCAGCCCAGCCCGACCGGCTACGTGCGCGCATGCGTACGCCCTGTGCGCGCGACCCCGCCCCCCCTCCCTTACTCCTGGGGACATAGCGCTCTTCGACCACACCCCCTCCCTCTCCACTGCCGTAGTTAGGCAGATGGAGACCGGCTTCTCTTATCGCGGGATTAAGGAAATCTCGCGAGATCAAAAGGTATCTTCTTTCCCTACCCTCAGGCCGAGTGCTGGGTGGTGAGCAGGTCCCAATAGGGGGCGGGGCTTGAGGACTCAGCGGCACGTTGTCCTGTCAGCTCCGTGGGAAATTCTAAGAAAGGTGACTCGAAAGGAGGAGAAAACGATCTAAGTAACCTGTAGGCACCAGAGGTTGCCCAGGTGAATGTACAGCCCGACTTCAGGAGCACCACTACTACTTCTGCTGCCTCGTTGACACCGGATATGTTTCCTAAACAGCGCTTGGGGATTTCGTAAAGGAAGATAGAAACGAAATATCATCGGAGTTAAACTAGCTATTTTTTTAAAGATTCTCACATGGTTTATGTTTTTCTTGAAATATATTACTGAAGTATTTAAATGGAGTTACTTAAGTAGAGGGGCAGGAGTAGCAAACGTACCAATATTACCACATACCCATTAACCAAACCAAAAGCGCACTGCTATGAGTGGATTCCAACTCATAGTGACACTATAGGACAGAGTAGAACTGCCCCTGAGGGTTTCCAAGGCTGTAAATCTTTATGGAAGCAGAC